CCATTAGAGAAAGGTGAATTTACAGCTGTAAAAATAATTTGTATGTCTCTGTTGCGTAGAAATTCTTTAAATTCTTTAGAATTTATTCCTGGGCATTGACCTGTTAAAATCATTCCAATTTTATTATTATCCGATACTTATTAAGTCGTTTGCACCCCTTCATCTTGTAAAATGGTCAACAAGATCCAAATCCTCCTATTGTATCTATAGACATTATTTCAAAAGGTTTTCTGGCTGGACCTAAGTGAGACATTAAACCAATCTTGTCTTGTCCTCGCGATTTATTCTTTATATAGATTTTACAACTTTTGCAAAAGTTCTTTATGTTATTTATTAAATGTTTTGCAGCATATACTTCATTTATTTTCTTTTGCATTTGTTTTATGCCTATATGACTATAGTGGTAATGAACGTCTTCAATAAGTTTTAAGCTAAACTCCTCTGATAATACAACTTTTTCCTTCTTTTTTATAATATCAACTAAAGTACCTCAATCCATAATATTAAATATAATACAAAATAATACGATTTTTCAAGAAATCATATCGCCTGTATTTTTAAGAATCATGATATGTATGTTAAATTGTAACTTAAAGATTCTAGTTTATGATATGATATAAAAAGTATATGATAATATAATTGAAATTTCCAGGAAAATATTGTTAAAGAAATACCCAAATTTATAAAACTCAAAATAATACGAATTTTCAAGAAATCATATCTTCTGCATTTTTAAGAATCATGATATGACATGCATCTTAAATTATAGCTTAAAGTGTCTAGTTTATGATATGATATAAAAACTATATGATAATATTAACGAAATTTCCAGGAAAAAATTATTAAAGGACAATTGTCAATTTTACAAATCCAAAGTAAAACGATATTTTCAAAAAATCATATCTCCTGTATTTTTAAGAATCATGATATGATATGTATGTTATATTGTAGGTTAAAGAGTCTAGTTTATGACATAATATAGAAACTATATGATAATATCATTAAAATTTCCAGGAAAATATTGTTAAAGACATAACCAAATTTATAAAACCCAAAATTATACGAATTTTCAAGAAATCATATCTTCTCTATTTTTAAGAATCATGATATGACATGAATCTTAAATTATAGCTTAAAGTGTCTAGTTTATGATATGATATAAAAACTATATGATAATATTAACGAAATTTCTAGGAAAAAGTTATTAAAGATCAATTGTTAATTTTACAAAGCCAAAGTAAAACGAAATTTTCAAAAAATCATATCTTCTGTATTTTTAAGGATCATGATATGATATGTATGTTAAATTGTAGCTTAAAGAGTCTAGTTTATGACATGATATAAAAACTATATGACAATATAATTGAAATTTCCAGGAAAATATTGTTGAAGAAATAGCCAAATTTATAAAACCCAAAATAATACGAATTTCCAAGAAATCATATCTTCTGTAGTTTTAAGAATCATGATATGACATGAATCCTAAATTGTAGCTTAAAGTGCTTAGTTTATGATATGATATAAAAACTATATGACAATATTAACGAAATTTCCAGGAAAAAGTTATTAAAGCACAATTGTCAAATTTCCAAATCCAAAATAAAACAAAATTTTCAAAAAATCATATCTTCTGTATTTTTAAGAATTATAATATGATGTGTATGTTAAATTGTAGCTTAAAGAGTCTAGTTTATGAAATGATATAAAAATTATATGATAATATAATTGAAATTTCCAGTAACAAATTGTTAGAAAAGATTGTCAAATTTATAAATAGAAAATAATACGAAATATTTAAAAAACATATCTTCTGTATTTTTAAGAATCATGATTTGACATGAATCTTAAATTGTAGCTTAAAGTGTCTAGTTTATGATATGATATAAAAACTATATGATAATATTAACGAAACTTCCAGGAAAAAGTTATTAAAGAACAATTGTTAATTTTACAAATCCAAAGTAAAACGAAATTTTCAAAAAATCATATCTTCTGTATTCTTAAGAATCATGATATGATATGTATGTTAAATTGTAGCTTAAAGAGTCTAGTTTATGACATGATATAAAAACTATATGATAATATAATTGAAATTTCCAGGAAAATATTGTTAAACAAGTAGCCAAATTTATAAAACCCAAAATAATACGAATTTTCAAGAAATCATATCTTCTGTATTTTTAAGAATCATGATATGATATGAATCTTAAATTGTAGCTTAAAGTGTCTAGTTTATGATAAGATATAAAAACTATATGAGAATATTAACGAAATTTCCAGGAAAAAGTTATTAGAGAACAATTGTCAAATTTACATATCCAAAGTAAAACGAAATTTTCAAAAAATGATATCTTCTGTATTTTTAAGAATTATGATATAGGTATGTTATATTGTAGCTTAAAGAGCCCAGTGTACAAACTCAACTACAAACTTCTTAAAGAGCTCACATTATAAAATTCAAAGGTTTTTTTAGATAATCCATGATTTTAATGTAAAAAAATCCAAAATAAAATTCATTTTATTTTAATATAAAAATATTTACATCTCATTTTATCGTAAAATCAATAAAAGTTTATAAAATAATCTAACATCCCTCTAAATAAACCAATCAGTTTTTAAGAAGGCGCGCATTTTACTTTTGCCATAGAAAAAAGTCTTTTCAAAAACATCTACATTCCATTATAAGCTGGACCTCCACCTCCTTCAGGTACTACCCAATTAATATTTTGACTCGGATCCTTAATATCACACGTTTTACAATGGATACAATTTTGTGCGTTGATTTGTAATCGTTGTCCATCTCCGGTTTCCATCGGTACAAATTCATAAACACCTAAATAAAATAAATGGAAATAATTCAAATTTATATTGTAATAAATAAAAAAAATACCTGCTGGGCAAAATCTGCCTTCAGGTCCATCATACACACTAAGATTTTGTTTAACAGGTACAGTATCATCTTTTAAAGTTAAATGGGCAGGTTGGTCACTTTCGTGATTTGTCCCAGTTAATGCCACAGAAGATAAAAGATCAAACATAATCTTTCCATCTGGTTTGGGATACTCAATAGGAGTACAATCTTTGGCTGGTTTTAGTCTTGTATGGTCAGCACCACCATGGCTAAACGTCCATGGTTCTCTTCCACCAATTATAATAGATGCCCCACTGTACATAATTCCACCATACATTCCCAAAGGACTATGAAAACTTGGACGACAATTTCTAACTTGCTTCAACTCCTTCAAAATCCAACTGTTTGCGATTTTATCACTATAACTTTTCGGTTCGAAAGAACTTGTAGATTGTTTCTCTCCAAAAATGGATTCAAACGCGCTTTCAGCGGCTAACATTCCACTTTTCATTGCGTTATGGGTCCCCTTGATTTTGGGGACGTTCAAAAAACCGGCTGCATCACCTACCAAGCAACCGCCGGGGAAAGTTAACTTTGGAAGACTTTGGTAACCTCCTTCACATAAAGCTCTAGCCCCATACGCTATCCGATTGCCACCTTCAAAAATTCCTTTCACAGATGGATGAGTTTTAAATCGTTGAAATTCTTTAAACGGACTTAAATAAGGATTTGTATAATCAAGTCCAACAACAAAACCAACAGCAATTAACGGAGTTGGTTCATTTAAGTGATACAAAAATGTTCCTCCATATGTATGTATATCCAAAGGCCATCCAATGGTATGTTCAACCAAACCAGGTTGGTGTTTTGTTGGTTCGATTTCCCAAATTTCTTTTAATCCGATTCCGTAAGTTTGGGGTTCCGCGTTTGCGCGTAAATTAAATTTTTTTATAATCTGTTTTGTTAAATGACCATGACAACCCTCAGAGAAAATCGTGCATTTCGCATGGAGTTCCATGCCACGTTCAAAAGTATCTTTAGGACTACCATCTTTTGCGATTCCTACATCATTCGTTGCCACACCTTTTACACTTCCATCTGGGTGGTAAAGAATTTCCGAAGCTGCATAACCTGGGTAAATTTCAACTCCCAAAGCTTCCGCTTGTTCTCCAAGCCATTTCACTAAATGACCTAATCTTACAACATAATTTCCATGATTGTTCATAGGTAAACCTATAATAACTTAGATTATTATAAATATTGATAATATTGGTAAGTGAGACCTGGAATGATGGGAATAGGAATTCTTCCAGTTTGGGTTAAAATTCCAAAACGATCTTTTACAACGGGAGTGTTTAAGGGGGCCCCTTTTTCTTTCCAATCTGGAATAAGTTCGTTAAGCGCGGCTGTTTCAATACAAGCACCCGAAAGAATGTGACCACCAACTTCGGCCGCTTTTTCTACGACGCAAACTCTTAGTTCTTTGCCTTCTTTTTCTGCAAGTTGTTTGGCTCTGATTGCCGCTGACATTCCAGCGGGGCCACCACCGATAATTAAGAGATCAGTTTCATCTTCAAATCTTTCAAATTTTATGTCTAAAATAAATAAATGTTAGATTTTGAATTTAATTTTGAATATTTTTTCATGTTTAGGTATTTTTACCTTTCCATCGAGGATCTTTTTCTCTTGGATATATCGTATAGTGGGTCGTAATCTTTGGAAATGCAACATCTGAGAAACATCTTGCTACCAATTGTGATTGGTGAACTAAAAAAAATGTTTAAATATATATGTGAATTTTTTATTGTTTATAAAGTGATTAAAAAAGACTCCTTCCTTTTCATTAATCTTACATTTAATTTTGTTAATTAATGTTTGATTCGACCTTTCTTTCTGCCCATTAGAGAAAGGTGAATTTACAGCTGTAAAAATAATTTGTCTGTCTCTGTTGCGTAAAAACTCTTTAATTTCTTTAGAATGTATTCCTGGGCATTGACCTGTTAAAATCATTCCAATTTCATTATTATCCGATACTTATTAAATCGTTTGCACCCTGAGTCTTCGATGTCAAAATGTATGCGTATCTTGTAAAATGGTCAACAAAAAATAGTCGACATTATTTCAAAAGGTTTTTTGGCTGGGCCTAAGTGAGACATTAAGCCAATCTTATCTTGTTCTCGCAATTTATTCTTTATACAGACTACAACTTTTGTAAAAGTTATGTATTATATTATGTATTAAATGTTTTGCAGCATATACTTGATTTATTTTCTTTTGCATTTGTTTTATGACTATAGTGATAATGAATGTCTTTAATAAGTTTTAAGCTAAACTCCTCTGATAATACAACTTTTTCCTTCTTTCTTATAATATCAACTAAGGTACCTGAATCCATAATATTAAATATAATACGAAATAACACCATTTTTCAAGAAATCATATCACCTATATTTTTAAGAATGATGATATATGTATGTTAAATTGTAGCTTAAAGATTCTAATTTATGATATGATATAAAAACTATATGATAATATGATTGCGATTTCCAGGATAATATTGTTAAAAAAATAGCCAAATTTATAAAACCCAAAATAATACGAATTTTCAAGAAATCATATCTTCTGTATTTTTAAGAATCATGATATGACATGAATCTTAAATTGTAGCTTAAAGTGTCTAGTTTATGATATGATATAAAAACTATATGATAATATTAACGAGATTTCCAGGAAAAAGTTATTAAAGAACAATTGTCAAATTTACAAATCCAAAGTAAAACAAAATTTTCAAAAAATCATGTCTTCTGTATTTTTAAGAATTATGATATGATATGTATGTTAAATTGTAGCTTAAAGAGTCTAGCTTATGAAATGATATAAAAATTATATGATAATATAATTGAAATTTCCAGTAACAAATTGTTAGAGAAAATATTGTCAAATTTATAAATAGAAAATAATACGAAATATTTAAAAAAACATATCTTCTGTATTTTTAAGAATCATGATACGACATGAATCTTAAATTGTAGCTTAAAGTGTCTAGTTTATGATATAATATAAAAAGTATATGATAATATTAACGAAATTTCCAGGAAAAAGTTACTAAAGAACAATTGTCAATTTTACAAATCCAAAGTAAAACGAAATTTTCAAAAAATCATATCTTCTGTATTCTTAAGAATCATGATATGATATGTATGTTAAATTGTAGCTTAAAAAGTCTAGTTTATGACATGATATAAAAACTATATGATAATATAATTGAATTTTGCAGGAAAATATTGTTAAAGAAATAGCCAAATTTATAAAACCCAAAATAATACCTATTTTCAAGAAATCATATCTTCTGTATTTTTAAGAATCATGATATGACATGAATCTTAAATTATAGCTTAAAGTGTCTAGTTTATGATATGATATAAAAACTGTATGATAATATTAACGAAATTTCCAGGAAAAAGTTACTAAAGAACAATTGTCAATTTTACAAATCCAAAGTAAAACGAAATTTTCAAAAAATCATATCTTCTGTATTCTTAAGAATCATGATATGATATGTATGTTAAATTGCAGCTTAAAGAGTCTAGTTTGTGACATGACATAAATATTATATGATAATATAATTGAATTTTCCAGGAAAATATTGTTAAAGAAATAGCCAAATTTATAAAACTCAAAATAATACGAATTTTCAAGAAATCATATCTTCTGTATTTTTAAGAATCATAATATGACATGACTCTTGAATTGTATCTTAAAGTGTCTAGTTTATGATATGATATAAAAACTATATGATAATATTAATGAAATTTCCAGGAAATAGTTATTAAAGAACAGTTGTCAAATTTACAAATCCAGAGTAAAACGAAATTTTCAAAAAATGATATCTTCTGTATTTTTAAGAATTATGATATGATATGTATGTTAAATTGTAGCTTAAAGAGTCTAGTTTATGAAATGATATAAAAACTATATGATAATATAATTGAAATTTCCAGTAACAAATTGTGAAAACAAAAAGTGTCAAATTTATTAATCGAAAATAATACGAAATATTTAAAAAACCATATCTTCTGTATTTTTAAGAATCATGATATGACATGAAAATTAAATTGTAGCTTAAAGTGTCTAGTTTATGACATGATATAAAAACTATATGATAATATAATTGAAATTTCCAGGAAAATATTGTTGAAGAAGGAATTGTCAAATGTTTACATCAAAGAAAATACGAAATTTTCAAAAAATCATATCTTCTGTATATTTAAGAATAATGATATGATATGCATGTTAAATTGTAACTTAAAGAGTCTAATTTATGACATGATATAAAAACTATATGATAATATAATTGAAATTTCCTGGAAAATATTGTTAGCCACATTTATGAAACCCAAAATAATATGAAATTTTAAGAAATCATATTGACTGTATTTTTAAGAATCATGACATGATATGTATATTAAATTGTAGCTTAGATATTCCAGATTAAGATATGATATAAAAATTATATGATAATATTATTGAAATTTCCAGTAATAAATTGCTAAAGAAAAAATTGCCAAATTTATAAATCGAAAATAATACGAAATATTCAAAAAACCCATATCTTCTGTATTTTTAAGAATCATGACATTATATTATATTTGTTTTTCCTTCTTTATGGTATATTCCAGCAAGCAACCTACTTGGTATTTGAATGACAGTGCTCTACTAGCAATTTCTGTTTCCACTTCAGCCATTCCTATTGCAAAGTAAATTTAACCATCATAGACTTATTCCAATCGAAGTAAGATTTTGCAAGAAGTTGTCTTAATATTTCAATCTTTTCTTCATCCTGTTTTGCATCAAATCTTGCACTTTCTTTTTCTAAAATTTCCATCCATTGATAAGCATTTATATTTTTTTCCATCATACTTCTCTAACACAAATCTTTCAGCCAATTTTCTAATATTTTGTTTTTCATTTTTCTTTTCATTTTGCTCAATTAATTTTTCTAAGATTTTTATAATAAAATCTCCTAAAATTAGTTATATTTGCAGCAAGAGGCTTTTCTTCTTGTTTTGTTTCTTCTATACATTGATTTTCAAAAACCATATTTTCCATAACAATCTAACAATGAATCCATTACAATTTTATATTGTATGTGTCGTGTATTTTTTATATTTTTACTATATTTTAACAAACCATACTAAATAGTTTCTTTACATATATTTAAAAAGCTACACTAACATGTGTTGTGTACTTTGGATTCGAATGCAAAGTACAATATTTTTCGGACAAACACAACTTTTTTAGAAAGATTTTATTTGAGATAATAAGAAGGTAAATATGCAAGAATTTTTTTTATTTGTAACTTTTTTAGTTGTTTATGCTCATTTAAATAAATAGTTTTAGATTTATGATGTTATTTATAACCCAAATTAATTGGAACGTTTAAAAGATTGAAGTAAAAAAGTGAGAAACGTTGCAATTTCTTTAATAATTCATTTTAATTTTAACTAATTAATCAAATTCTACTTACAGCATTTTGATGCAGCTCGGATAGAGTGCGCCATATTTATATTTTGCACTTTGAACAACTCAACTCAACGAGTTGAGTGGGCACAGCTGATTAAAATATAGCATGGAGATTTAGGCAACTTAAATAACAACATAAAAGGCTGATTTTTCTTATGTAGTAGATTAGATAAAATTTATTTTATGTAATACACAAATATACCAATACAATTTAGTAATAAATAATTTTCTAAAAATATCATTTAAAAAACATTGCTTAAATCTAAAAATTTTAAAATTCCCAACTATCCAACCATCTAAGACCATACATGGTTGAATTTAATTCATTAGCATGTGGACCACTCATTCCATAAGCTAATGGGGAGAATAATAAAAAGCTATAAATAAGACTTGAAATAATAAGTACTAAAGACGTGTGATAAATGGTTGTTGAGATTTTCTTTGGGAATAAGACGAATACATTTTCTAAGATATAATCCAAAATAATACCTGCAAAAGAACAATTAATTTTGAATAAATATAATTGATATAAGTAAAATTATAGTCACCAGTTAGCATAGAATTAAATATGAGAGCTGGGAAATAATGATGAAAATATAACACTCTGCCCATAGCCCAAAATGGAACATAATGTAATAACCAACCAATAAAAAGCCATGTACACCCCTTAACTTTCATGTAATTGTGATCTAAAAATGTTTAAAGATTAAAAATAATAATCATTTTGAAGCAAAATTTAAATTGTACCATTATTATTTGGTTGAATGTAACCTCTTTGTTCTTTGATGGCGTTAATTGAAAATACTATGAGGAAGATGCCCAAAAATAACAAGTTTGACCACCAAATCACTGGATTTCCTAATAAATAAATTCGGTAGTTGGATCCTGAAAAAAATTGACCCTGCAAAATAAATTATAAATCATTATACTAATATAAATAGTATCTGCAAATTTTTTTCTAATTAGTATAAGATTGAATCTATAAAGTGCCTCATATAGGATGTGATCAAAGTTATTTGGAGAAATTAATGGGAGCGAATTGAGTAGCTCTCCAATGCTGTTTCAAATGCTAAGCCTAGAGAAAGGAGGAGGATTGCTGACCTGCTCAAGGTATAAAAGTTAAAATACACACAAAGTTGCATTTGTTGAAAACCAAGTACAACAATGCATAACTCCTCGAATATGCCATATAAGTTTAATCCAACTCCACCAGGTAATACTATAAATTCAGTAAAGCATAAAAATAACTAAAAATAATATATAAACTAGTTTACTTAACAAATCAAACTTTTAGAAACAATAATTCTGAAATGCCACAAAAGATCTATCTGAAGAAAACTTATTAATTAGATGTTAGATAATACAGAAATTATCTACAAAAAGTTGGTTGAACAAAAATTGTATACTAGCAATACAAGAGCTTTCCCTCACAAGAGAAGTTAAATATACTTTAAAACAAGAAACACAGTGAATACAGCAAATAAAAAAGGATTAAAAGGGAGTACAGGGCCAAATTTACCTGTGATGTAGATAAAGACCAAAGAAAAATTTGGAAGATCAAAACATTTTTCAAAACAATTCTCAAACTCACAATTACTTTTCAAATAAAGTTAATTATGGCTACTAAGTTTCATTCACTAGGGTCAATGACTCCAAGATAAAGAAATGTTTGGACAGGTTATGGAAGTTGTGTAATATATGGGGAATTAAGAGATCAGTAGTGCTTGTTAAGGTGCATGGCTCCTCTATAGAAAGGTTGGATAAGGTTTTTTGATTACCAGGGTTGGGTTGGTCTAAAATTAGCTATCTAAATTAAGGTGACCATTCGTACTGGTTTTACCAGTACACTACTGGTTTTTTAGTAATTAGTCCTGGTTAATTGCGAAGTGAAACCAGTACACAAAATTTAGTGCTATGAGTAGTTATGGATTAATGAGTTAAAAGAATTTTGTGAATTCGTTGACATCGAATACAAAAAACTCTTGGGCTAGAGTGCCACACGATGGTTGGCGTTACCAGCCTTGAAGTCTTATTTTACATCACTTGATAAGAGCCCCACAATTATCAAAAATTATTTTGATAACCTAGAGACGGAGTCATGGCTTTACTTTTTGCATCATGTGTCTTCTATGTTCCACACTGTCTATTAGCAGAAATCTCCTGTCTTTCTATTTTGAAAATAGAAAGACAGGAGATTTCTGCTTTGGAAACAAGCAGTATTTACAACGACTTAAAAACCAACTTAGTTGAAAGAAAAGAAAATGCTTTCGTGCCATTACAAACGCGGCAAAATTTAAAGAAGCTGGAAGATGAAGGCATTATTAAACCTGCTATTTTTAAAGAAAAAGTAGTGGAGTTTTATGAAACATGAAAAGGACATTTTCAACAAATACAAAAATTTGATTGGAATCTGTTAAATGCCAAACCCACATATGACTAAATTCAAGTGTGCAGTGATTATATGATTATATTCTTCACAATTTTCCTCATGTCAGTCTAATTGAAGTTGACTACTGTTTGATAAGATTTGCTTTGTCCTGCGTTACACTACAGACGAAAAAATTACCTACTGGAAACGAAATTCTGTAACAGTATCAAATAAATAGATTGAAATATTCAAAGCATTCAATGAAAATGATATTTCTTACAAAAATGTTGGCAAATTGGTAGAATATGCTTCATGTGTGCCCGGAACTAACGCAGCTACTGAACGGGTTTTTACACTTATGAACAACATATGGACCAGTGATAAAACCCAACTACATGTTGCAACCTTGAAGAGCATGTTAATTACCAAATATAATATAAACGTTACTTGCACGGAATTTTATCAAACCATTCAGGAAGATGAGTTATTATTAAAATGTATCCATTCATCAAAAAAATATTAAAAAAAAAATATAAATTAGAAATGTAGAATAATGTAATGTATCTTTTTTTTTAATCTTTTATATTTATTAAAACGTTTATATTATTATAACGCATTTTTTATTTTAACCAGTTTTGACAAAATCTACAAAATGGTGAATGCGCCTCAAAGCTTTTTTTATCAAGAATATGTGTTGGTTTAAATTTTTTTAAAAATGGTCACCTTAATCCAAATGGTCAGAAAAGGAACGGTTCATCTAGCAAAGTTCAAATTTGGTACAAGTTAACTTTAAAGGTTCCTTTACAACCTCAAAAAGTTTCATTTCTTAAATCTTATCAGTTTTGGAGAAAACGACCCTTCTTGTTTAATTACGTTTTCAATAAATATCATATCAAATAAGTGGTTTTCAAAAATGTATATAAAATAAATGGTTCACTCTGAAAACTTCAAATTTGGCAGAACCTAACTTCAAACGTTCTTTTACAAACTCAAAAAGTTTCATTTCTTAAGTGTTATCAGTTTTGGAGAAAACGATCCTTCTTGTTTAATTACATTTTCAATAAATATGCCAAATAGGTGGTTTTTAAAAATGTATATAAAATGAATGGTTCACCCTGGAAACATCAAATTTGGTACAACCTAACTTCAAACATTCCTCTACAACCTCAAAAAGTTTCATTTCTTAACTCTTATCCGTTTTGGAGAAAACGACCCTTTTCGTTTAATTACATTCTCAATAAATATCATATCAAATAGGTGGTTTTCAAAAATGTATATAAAATAAATGGTTCATCCTGGAAATTGCAAATTTGGCACAACCTATCTTCAAACATTCCTCTACATTGTAGAGGAATGTTAAACTTTGCCCACCCCTGCTCTACAACCTCAAAAAATTTCATTTCTTAAATCTTATCCGTTTTGGAGAAAACGACCCTTCTTGCTTAATCACATTTTCAATAAATATCACATCAAATAGGTGGTTTTTAAAAATGTATATAAAATGAATGGTTCACTCTAGAAACTTCAAATTTGGCACAACCTAACTTCAAACGTACCTTTTTAACGTCAAAAAGTTTCATTTCTTAAATCTTATCCGTTTTGGAAAAAACGACCCTTTTTGCTTAATTACATTTTCAATAAATATCATATCAAATAGGTGGTTTTCAAAAATGTATAGAAAATAAATGGTTCACCCTGAAAACTTCAAATTCGGTAAAACCTAACCTCAAATGTTCCTTTTTAACCTCAAAAAGTTTGAATTCTTAAATCTCATCAGTTTTGGAGAAAACGATCCTTATTGTTTAATTACATTTTCAATAAATATATCAAATAGGTGGTTTTTAAAAATGTACATAAATCGAATGGATCACCCTGAAAACTTCAAATTTGGCACAACCTAACTTCAAACGTTCCTTTTTAACCTTAAAAAGTTTCAATTCTTAAATCTTATCAGTTTTGGAGAAAACGACCCTTCTGGTTTAATTACATTTTCAACAAATATATCAAATAGGTGGTTTTTAAAGATATATACAAAATGAATGGTTCACCCAGGTAATTTCAAATTTGGCACAACCTAACTTTAAACTTTCCTCTACAACCTCAAAAAGTTTCGATTCTCAAATCTTGACCATTATGGAGAAAACATCTTTTTGCGTTTAGTGACGTACAGTTATAAATTATTAAATAACTATTATTTATTTAATTAACATACTCTATAATTTATTGGCCATTGCCATGGACGTGAAGTAATCTCTCCCTCTTTGGGTTTCAATCCAGCATTTCCTTGAAACATCACAGCATGAGATTCGATAAATCTTTCAAAGAAACTTGGGGCATATACTTCAAAACTAACATTTTCCACTAAAAAAATAAAATACACACATCTAATTAATTTAGGCATTCAAAAATTTGGTGATAATTAACATTTATCAAAAATATTTTCTTCAACATTCCACACCGCATGGGGATCCCTCAAATTAGGATTACAAGATACTTCCTGTTGTTCATACCCCCATTTGGGGAGTTGTTTTCCACTTGTTGTTAAGATACATGATTGAATATAATGGACAAATTTTAATTTGGTATTTACGGCGGTTACTTCTGCTTTATCGTTCGCCCCAATAACAATCACTTTCCAAACATCATTCGCATCCCCAGTACCATTCTAATAAATAATAAGTTAATTTTTATAAAAATAAAATAAAACGATTTTTACCTCTCCATATCCAGTGACTTGCAAATGTTTTTTTGTTATCGGCGCTGGTTCTTTATGCGAATGAAGGTTTCTTTTCGTTGCAATATGTTCCAATCGGATTAAATCGCCACTTCTAAGGATTTGTACGCCTTCAGACGTTTCCGAATTGTATTTTTTAATTATCCATTTATTATTGTCGTCTTTGTGAGTGTACGTTGTGATCTATTATTGTAATTTTTTTTATTATGTTGAAAGTAATGTTAAATGAGGTTAAATTACCTGTTGTTGTCTGGCTCCTATTCCATCCGGATACAAATGATAATGTGAATGAAGATAACCTCCACCTGTCCGGTGATTTTTTAATGTTATAATCGCACCATATGCGACTTGTCTTGGCATGGTCGCATTGTGTAAACTATTTCCGATTAATTGTGATTGAAAAGCGGAGCTATAAAAACCATCTCCATTTCCACTACAATAAATTAAACGTTACTTCAATAGATAAATTCATGTTAGTTTAAAAAATTACCTTTTGTGTAAAACTGTTAAATGGATGTAGAAAAATATCATGTATAAACATATTGGCCATAAAATTAAAAAGAAGACTCTCGCTGCTAGATGTTTTATTGTTACTGTCTAAAAAAAGTTGATTAAAAATAACTGAATTAATACAATAGTAAATCTCAATCTAGAAATCTAAAAATTGAATAGTCTTGAATAGAACACAGAGTCCAAGAAATAGCGTTTTACAACTTGTTTAAATTTTTTGGGGCACTCCTGAGATCTAATCGACCGGGGTAATCTATTATAAATTCTTTGGAAACATAAAAGGGACTTCTTTCAAATGTGGAGGTAACATGTCGAGAGAGAATCAAATGCCTGAGGATCCTGATTTGGCAAATGCTGATGCGTTGAGCAGATTAACACTCAAAGTTGAATGTAGAGAACCGCCAAGAGCATTGGAAGTACTGATGTTAGAAAACTTACCGGAAAAAATGATAGAAGCAAAAGATATAGCGATTGCTACGGCAAAAGATCCAATCTTATTTGGGGTAAGAAAATGGATTTGGAAAGGTTGGCCTCGAAATCCTAAAGAAGTGTGCGCAGAATTTCAACCATTTGTGGCACGACGCAGAGAATTATCATGTTACATGGATTGTATCCTATGGGGAACACGGGTTGTGATTCCACCAGAAGGGAGGAAAGAAATGCTAGAACTACTCCATGCTTCAAAACTTCTTCAACTCGTTTAAAAGCTAATACGTGCAAAGTTTGCCAAGAAACGCGTAAGGCACCAGTGCATCCATGGGAGTGGGCAAAAGCGCCTAGTCGAGATTGCACTTAATTTTGCCGGTCTGGTAAAAAGAAAAACATATCTAATTACAGTTGATTCTTATTCAAAATGGCTGGAGGTTCATCAAGTTCAGACTACGTCAAGTGCTACAACAAAATTGGAATATGAGTATGAAATTTTCCCAAAATAAATAACTTTTAGTTTTTGAAAAAGCAATATTTGATAGTATCTTGGACCCAAATAAGTTGACATATCTTATCAGCTTTCTTATTAATTTCATTTTTATTCAAATATCGCAATAATGTGGCAATGTAGGGGTATCACTTCAGAAATGCACCAGAAATTATAGCCATAATGGCCGGATAGATACATATGCCGAATAACCGGATATCCGGCCGAAGGGGATGCCGATTATCCGGCTTTTCGCAAAATCACTATCCGTTCCGTCACTAATTTCTAATTAATGCACGTTTCTTACACCATCCCCAGCTTTAACTAACTCAGGAGTGACCCAACTACTATGCCTAACGTTTAGTGTACCTCGACGCAGCGTTGCCAACCTATGTCACACAAATGTCAGTAAACTAGGGATTCGGAGCATATTACAAAAAAACTTTTAGAAGAAATGTTGTAGCAGATTCTGTTCTTAACAATATTGCTCTGTTGCACTTTTGCTCTCAGATGCGTCAATATCGAGAAAAATACAAAAATATGAAAATTGTATGAATTTGTTGCGTTTTCAAGTTAATGGCAAGATTCGTGCTACGGAGCATATTACAAAAAAATGTTTTGAACAATAGTTGTAGCAAATTTTGTTCTTAACAATATTGCTCTCTTGTACTTTTGCTCTCAAATATAGAGATATCGAGAAAAACATAAAAATATGACAATTTGATGAATTTGTTGCTTTATCAAGCAGTTAATGGTAGCACTCGGAAAATGGAAAATGTTACAAAAAAACATTTGGAACAATAGTTGTAGCAAATTTTATTCTTAACAATATTGCTCTCTTGCACTTTTGTTCTCAGATGCGTCAATATCAAGAAAAATACAAAAATATGAAAATTTGATGAATTTGTTGCTTTTTCAAGCAGTTGATGATAGCACTCGGAAAATGGAAAATGTTACAAAAAATCTTTCGCAACAATAGTTGTAGCAAATTTTATTCTTAACAATATTGCTCTCTTTCATTTTTGCTCTCAGATGCGTCAATATCGGTCAAAACGCAAAAATATGAAACTTTGATGAATTTGTTGTAGTTAATGGTAACACTGGGGAAACAGAGCATATTACAAAAAAACTTTTGGAACAATAGTTGTAGCAAATTTTGTTCTTAACAGTATTGCTCTGTTGCACTTTTCCTGTCAGATACGTCAATATCGAGAAAAATACAAAAATATAATTTGATGAATTCGTTGCTTTTTCAAGCAGTTAATCGTAACACTTGGGAAATGGAAAATGTTACAAGAAAACTTTTGGAACACTAGTTGTAGCAAATTTTATTCTTAATAATATTGCTCTCTTGCACTTTTGTTCTCAGATGCGTCAATATCGAGAAAAATGTAAAAATATGAAAATTTGATGCATTTGTTGCTTTTTCAAATAGTTAATGGTAACACTCGGGAAACAGAGCATATTACAAAAAAACTTTTGGAACAATAGTTGTAGCAAATTTTGTTCCTAACAATATTGCTCTCTTGCATTTTTGCTCTCAGATGCGTCAATATCGAGAAAAATACAAAAATATGAAAATTTGATGAATTCGGTGCTTTTTCAAGCAGTTAATGGTAACACTCGGATAATGGAGAATGTTACAAAAAAAACTTTGGGAACAATAGTTGTAGCAAATTTTATTCTTAACAATATTGTTTAACAATAACGTTTCTTACACCATCCCCAGCTTTAAGTAACTCAGACGTTGCCAACCTATGTCACACAAATGTCAGTAAACTAGGGATTCGGAGCATATTACAAAAAAACTTTTAGAAGAAATGTTGTAGCAAATTCTGTTCTTAACAATATTGCTCTGTTGCATTTTTGCTCTCAGATGCGTCAATATCGAGATAAATACAAAAATATGAAAATTTGATGAATTCGTTGCTTTTTCAAGTAGTTAATGGTAACATTCAGGAAACAAATCATATTATAAAAAAACTTGTGTGGTAGTCTTGTAGGGTTAGCAACGCTGCCTCGACGTACCATTGGACAGCATAACTCAAAACAGTAAGTAAAAAATACTAAAGAAACTGTTAAAAATATTGTCAATGTGTACATCCAATAATACATAAGAATCAAAAACTGATCAGTCTCGGGATATAAGTGAACGATAGAGTTCGTGCAAACATAAATTACTCAGTTTTCTAACAGCCAATTCCCTGTGCGACTCGACACCCGCTCGAGAAGCAACACTGTCAATATAATTGAACACCAACAAGCCAGCAAAGTGATCAGCAATATTTGCATCAAAAACATTAAAAGTACACAAATCGATTGGTAAATTGGTTACCATATAATCTAAAGTAGACTCGTTCATGCTCGTTTCGCCAAATACTATACGGGTAGGATCAGTACTTTTTCCATTAAATTGAAAAGAATCAAATACGTCCCGCAACATTTTGGATATTGAACAATTTCTATTAATATCTATGTTCAAATCTCTGCATAACACAAGATTTAGAAAATTAGTTGATACATAAGACTATGAATAATATGAACAATTTATCAATAAAAGAGTTTTTTATAATTTAAAGAAACACAACAGGCCTCCAACTCCATTTTTGACACAAAATTACCAATATCAATAACTGAATAAAGAATAAAGTTAAAATTGATTCCCAGAAATAAAGAGTTTATTTCAAAATGATAATCTAATAATATACAAATCACATATTTAGATAAAGAATGAAAGAATCCATTTAAATACACTTAAAATATATATTCAAATCAATATTCTTCAACCATACAAAACATTCTTTAGTAATCACATTTTATTTCTTAACTAGATTATTCACCTCTCTTCATCTATTAAAACCTGAAGTTCCTCTTCTTTGTCTTTGCTCTCATTATTTTTTTTAAACAACATCCCCAAAACAATCCCAGTAAACAAAATCAACCCAACTTGTGAATTTGAAATAAATTTACTAGCACAATCAGCGGGATTGTGAATATTTAATGTAATAATTTGAGAAGCAATATGTGTAGCAACTAACCCCACTGAGGTGTAATAAGGCCAAGTTTGAGACGCCATAATTCCAGATACAATTAATGATCCAATCATTGTTGAACTAAACGCTGTTAACCATATTTTCGTATTTTTACCAAATCGTAAAGCTGTCGATTTGATTCCTAGGATCATATCATCTTTTTTATCTTGATGTGCATAAATTGTGTCATATAAAATGGTCCAACAAACTCCAGAAAGATAAAGAGGTAAACAAACCGGGCTGTTTATATGCCCTTGAACAGCGCTATATCCGAGTAAAGCGCCCCAATTAAAGGTAAATCCCAGAATTAATTGTGGCCAATAAGTTATTCGTTTCATTAAAGGATAAGTTATAACTAATCCCATCGAACTAGCGCCCAAAAAGATGCTATACCAATTCAATTGGGTTAAAACCATCAATCCAAAACTTAGTTGTACAGCAAGAAATGTCCACGCTTTTTTCATATCTAATTCTCCACTGACTAAAGGTCGACTAGATGTTCGAGTAACTTTTCCATCAATATCACGATCCCACATATCATTAATCGTACATCCAGCACCTCGCATTATCAAAGCTCCAAGACCAAATAATGTAAGCAAATACGGATCAGGGAAGCACCCTGGTTGTGAAGCAGATGCAATCCCCCAACTACATGGCCAATATAAGAGCCATGTTCCAATCGGTTTATCATACCTGGCAAGTTTTAGATAAGGTTGTAGCGATTTAGGTGCACTTTCCACCAATTTAGCCGCTAGTTTAATATTGTGTCTTGCAACTTGTTCGGAAATTTCTATTTTTGAAGATTTATATCGAAACGTGGTAATCGCTGGTGGTGTTTTGAATAACATAACCTCACTTATTACATAATGGAACGTCCGCGATTTATTTATCTTACACATATATCTTAATAGAGACATAATTTTGGCTTAGATTTATCGAAATTTATTTATTATTTAATATATCATTACGTAGTAGTTTCAACATTTTTGATAAATATAATCAACGGATTATTTTGAGGTTAGAAATCGAAATGTCTAATTTACAAATGACCTAATGTGTCAAAAGTTCTAAACTATCACAAATAATTTAAATAAAAAAATTGTTACTTACGATTGGTTTTGTTAAATCTCCTAAAATGGTCCATAAATCGCCAATAGTCATCAATCCAACAAGTAACACAACAAATAATCCAACGAATTTTACAGATATACAACAAGATAGCATCGTACCAGAAAAAGCCAACCAAAACCACCATGATTTCGAAAACGGTTTAATTCGATTCGATGAGACTTTTACACCTCCTAATATTGAAGTCATCATAAAACATAATAAAATTGGATCCAATAGAATGTATTGCGTCAACGTTAATAACCCAACATCTATTAAAATAAATAAATTTAGATACTCAAGTTTTATTCTTTATTGCTTACCAAATAAAATGAATAGTGATGATAAAGCTGATGCTATCACAGATTGAGTTAATTCATCTACTATTAAGTATGTAGTTGGAATTACTGTGGCCCCCATTGCTGTACAAAACTAATAAGAATTTTACATTTTGAGTTAATTTATGAGCCATTTCTTATCTTACTATTCGCATTCCAATAAAGTTAACATTCTCATATTTATCACCTGGTTTATCGAAAGCAAAATTGCCATCATAACCTGTTAAATAACCCGAAAGACCAATCAACATCTAAAAAATAAATGTTAAAAACGTTAGACACTACAAAAATGATTGTTTACTTTTCCCAATGGGGGATGAACATCGAAAAAGAATGTACGATTAATATACCATGATCCCATTTTTCCGAAATGAGTTTCATCCCAGCTGAAAATAAAACAAACCAGGTAAATTAAGTGTATTTGGGTCAGATTTTACTTCATTACCAGATATGATCAGGTTCAGTGACTTTATAAAATCTTATTATTAATGTTAAAACGCATATTGTTCCAAAAACAAACCACCAAGTTCTACAAAAAAAAGTGGAACTTAAATAATTGTTATACAATGTAATAGTTAGAAAAGTTTTTACCTGTTCACCTCAGTTTTAACCATTTTGTGTCTAAACTTTCTCTAAAACCACACTTTACGTTTTCAGTGAAAAGTACTTATGACATACTTTAGAAAGGTATCTAAGAAAAAGGTTTAATTGTTAAGCACCATTACTTAATTAGGATTTAATTGTTAAAATCAAATTTTCTTTAAGATATAACGGTATTCTTAAAACTTAGTGGAATAATTCACATATTTAGAATATTTTTTTTAACCCAGGTCTGCCAATCTCTTTAAAGCGTAAACAGTTAATTTTTATATTTAATAAATTTAAAATCTTTATTTATTTAAAATTAATTACGAGATTAATATTAATTTTTACAAAAATAATATGGTTTACAAAAAATTGAGGTTATTCAATTACTTTCAAGTTGTGTTTGTGAGGTGTGGAAGAAACGTGACGTCACGTAGGTCTCGAAGCCATTTTAACTGTAGGATATGGAGGAGTTTTTATTTTAATTCTTTACCTAAATTTGTATTTCTTTGATGGTTATTTGGTTATAAACAGTTGAGGAGAATAGAAAGAAACCCCTTATAATAATTTCAACAATAATAAACTCACGATATCTGTTTGTAGGGTTGAATCTCTAATTTTCCATAGAATATGAACAAAATCGTGGGTGTTGGATTTGATGGATATGCAGCATTGATGAGGAAAAATAGGTTGTACTTAAGGATTAGAATGAAGCACCCCAAGACTTCTTTCATTGTATGATGTACAGACAGGATTTAGTAATTAAATACTTATGCTCATGATCTGACATATGGCATATGGCTACAATCTTGGCTAAGGAAGCAAATTTTAACAGATTAATAACACTTTGGAGGAAACTCAATGTCTCTAGTTGTAGGCAATCATTACATTTATAACTTTTCCGTCAACAACTTGTTCCGTTTTATCACATTGAGGAGTAAATACTGGCACAATAGCACAATTCATAAATAAATGAAGAAATGGTGATTGGGCAATTATAAAAGAACAAAATATTGATGCGCAAACCACTTATACCAGCGTTTCTCAACCTTGCAATATTCGAGGCTCAAGGCCCAATTTTGAATAACAATTTATATGGCGCCCCCTACCATTCCTTTTTTATATAATAATAAAATACGACGTATATTATACGTTCAAAATTTTGACCCTAATCCCCTTAGTGCAGCGTGTTGTCAGTGTCTTAGACCCTAGACTCTATGGCTAGAACCCTAATATAGAACTTAATTACAGACCTTCAATATTATGGCAATGCCGCCCTGTTATATCCCATTTAGGCACAGTATAAAGAGAACCAGTAGGGACTAGCTGGCTTTTTATGCAGGATGGACTTTTTTCAACATTGTTAAGAAGTTTGCCACCAGAACTACTTTTCTACAAATCGGTAGAACTCAAAGCAACAGCATTCGCTTTGTTTGATGTTTTAAATGATTTTATTAATAAGGCAAACATAGAGTGGAAGAATTGCGTTGGAATATGCACCGATGGTGGTCGTACAATGTCTGGATGATTTCAATATTTACAAGCACAAAAATCTTCACAATGTGTCTGGACTTATTTCATAAATCACAGAGACACTCTGGCTTCCAAAGAAATGAATCCTGGTGGCAATATTGTGCTAACGACAGTTGTAACTGTAGTAAATTATATAAAAATGAAACCACTAAAATTAAGAATTTTAATGCACTTTGCAAAGATATGAGTGCAGAATATTCGACGTTGCTATGTTATTGCGAGGCCAGATGGTTATCGAGTGGGAAATTTCTACAATGTGTTTATGAGTTAAAAGAGGAAATTGCCACTTTTCTAGAAGAGGAAAACCGCCCGGAAGCCGAAAAATTGGAGATGCTTTATTTGTTATTAAATTGAGTTACTTGGTCGACACATTCGAGAAAATAAATACCCTGAATCTACAACTCCAAGGAGCAAACACACATATGTTGGATAGCAGTGATAAAGTTAGTGCTTTTTGTAGAAAGTTGGAGCTGTGGAGCAGAAATGTGATACAAAAAAACTAGAAATGTTTGCACGTAATAAAATTAAAGTTGACATTGACAACTGAAGATTTTTTTCACGACTAAACCTGTATCACAGCACACTGATAACAGTTATCACAAGCACAGAAGCCGCTTGGTCACTGGTTACGTTTTACGATTATACAGGTGTTTCTGTAAGTCATGACATAAATTTAATCATTAAAACTAGAGACAAAATGATGACAATTCGCGTAAAAATTTTTAAAGAAAATAATCTAGGGTTTGGTTTTGTACTTTTAAGGTCCATTACTACCATCTTTTAGTTAAATTTATCTTATAGATAAACCCATCTACTAGCCAATCAAAACGCGTAAAATAGCCGTAACTGTGGTAATAATCCCTTAGATACCATAACCAGAAGGTGGTAGTAACGAGCCTAAACTGGTTTTTATTTTATATAGAATTTAAATTTCATCAGTTTCGGCCCTTGGCCATCTTCAGAGACTCTACAAATAGATTAACATCTCTCATCTTATCCATTTTATAAACAAGTTTCTTAATATTTCTTTTTTTTATTAAAAAAGTTCACATATCAAAGCCGAAATCTATTAATTAGTTACTAATTTACACAATTAATGTTTAAAAAGTTGTAAAATGAAATTAAGGACGATTGTTACAAGATTACAGGTTAAAATTTAAGCACACTCTTCTTTAACAAAAGAAATATTAAGAAACTTGGGAAAAATTCAGGAATAAAGCTTAAAAATCGACGATCTTTTTTAATAACTTAGTACTTACTTTTAAGACTTTTTAACTTCTATTATATGATAACTAACTTCAGGTTTAAAATGTCAACCTCAATTTTGACATATTTGTAATCTTCATTAAAAATCCTTTGAAATGAGTAGAAACACGACATATTTTTCTTCAATATTAATGGTTACGGTCAACTTCCGGTTAAGAATGTCAACGTAAATTGTGACATGTCGTGAAAAATCCTTTAAAATGAGTCCAAACATGATACGTTTAATTCCAATATTACTCGAGATATAAGCAACTTCCGGTTTGAAATGTCAACGTCGTTTTGACATATTCTTAATTTTTATAAAATGTCAACATTTGTCATAAAAAGAAAAAAATAATAAAAAATTAAGGTTGGTATTAATATTTTAAAATTAAATTATATCTTCATTGTTGCTAATTTAGGGTTTAATGTTTTTTATTCTAACTTTTTTGTTCTTTGAGATAAGTGCGTCTTGTTTGGACTCATTTTAAAGGGTTTTTTAATAAAGAATACATCATGAAAGAACACTATGAAGTTGTCCATGTGTCTGTTATATAATAACTAACTTCAGGTTTAAAATGTCAATTTCAATTTTGACATATTTGTAATCTTCATTAAAAATCCTTTAAAATGAGTACAAACACGACATATTTATCTTCAACATTAATGAAGTTACGGCCAACTTCCGGTTAAGAATGTCAACGTCAATTTAGACATATTTGTAATCGTTGTGAAAAATCCTTTAAAATGAATCCAAACATGATACATTTAATTCCAATATTACTCGAGATATAAGCAACTTCCGGTTTGAAATGTCAACGTCACCTGGATATATTCTTAATTTTTATAAAATGCTTTAATATTGGTCACAAAAACAAAAATATAATAAAAAAAAGTTAAGGTTGGTATTAATATTTAAAATTTCAATTGTTATCGTCATTGTTGCTAACATTGGGTTTAAAGTTTTTTTATTCTTTTTCGTTGTTTGAGATAAGTGCGTCATCTTTGAACTCACTTTAAAGGTTTTTTTAATGAAGATGACAAATATGTGAAAATTGACGTTTCAAACCGGGAGTGATTGTATCTTCATTAATATTAAAGTTAAATATGTCGAGTTTGGACTCATTTTAAAGGATTTTTTATGAAGTTGACAAATATGTCAAAATTGTAAAAGATCCTTCATCTTAATCTTAGCTCCTTAATGCCATTTATGTACTTTGTTGCTTATGTAGGACACCTATATAAACAAATAAATAAAAAATTTCTTTTATTATATCCCCTTTACTCTATTATAGATTTAATTTATTCTATTACACCTTTAATTAGAAAATAATTCTTGAAATGAAAACAACAGTAAAATATAATGATGCAACCAAAGTGACCTACTTAACGTTCTAAGTTCCAGGTAATCAATTTTTAACAGGGATCCAGATATATACTAATCTGAGGCATCTTTATCAAATGGAGAATGTTTATCAATTTATTTCTCAAGAAATCTCTTGCTTTCCAGGTTTGGGGGTTATGTTATCCCTAACAGAGTAAGTTAGGGATTTATTTTGTTATACAGTTGAATTTGTATTGACTGGAGGATTAGGGTGCGAAAGAGACAACCCGCTGTTTAAAATACACTATTATTTTTTTCCGAATTAAACCGGATTAACAAGCTATACAAAAATTCTAAATATTTCCCTCGGTAATATGCGAATAAATTAACATAGAAAACCAGTTTAACCGGTGTTTAAGAGACTGTATAGAGTGGTTTAGACTCCAAGATCACAGTGTTGTTTAATCCCATATCGACCGGCGGTGGTATTTTTTACGAACAACTTCATCAAATTCAAAGATAAAGGAATCATCAACAAACCGATATAATGTCAGTAATTGGAAAGGTAATCACACAAAGTTTTCTTTATCTACAATTTAGTATTTGCTTAAAGCAAGTTTATTAATAACTTTATCTTTACAATACAGATTATTATTTACTTACATTAATTATTTTTTAGCCAATTTTATATTCGTATTGGAGAAGTTCTTGTAGTTGGAGAGTAAGAATTGCTTTAAATTTAAAAGAAATCCCATACGAGATTAAACCTGTCTCATTAATAAAATCGGGTGGAGAACAACATTCAAATGAATATCGTGAGGTAAATCCAATGGAACAAGTCCCAGCTTTACACATTGATGGGCACACTTTGGTTGAATCCTTAAACATCCTTCATTACTTGGAAGAATCCCGCCCTCAACGACCATTAATGCCACACGACGTCATAAAAAGATCAAAGGTACGTGAAATATGCGAAGTAATAGCTTCTGGAATCCAACCCCTCCAAAACTTGATAGTTTTGATACACGTGGGGGAAGAAAAGAAGAACGAATGGGCCCAACATTGGATCACCAGGGGATTTAGGGCGGTGGAAAAATTGCTTTCGAGTAGTGCGGGGAAGTATTGTGTTGGAGATGATGTTACTTTAGCTGATTGCTGTTTGATTCCGCAAGT